GTTAAATACACAAAAATAAATAAATTCATAATATGAATACATTTCGGTGGAACACATATTCAAAGAATTCCAAACAAGTAATTATATAAAACAGAGGGCATTAGAAATTGGGAAACAATTCCACTCTAATAAGATATAAAATTCAAGCATCATTAACTAAACAATTTGCGGTCCATTCCTACACGAACTCCTATTGTGCCTCTTAAACCCACAAGCACTGCAAGAATTCATGCTCTTCTTCCCATATAGCTCGTTGTATGCCTTGTCACGATACTTCTTGGATGGCCTTCCAGGTCGCTAGCTTCAAAAAGAAAAAATATAGAACACACACTCAATACATACTGATCGGTTACATACAAGATTTCACCTTTTAGCTCAATTACAACAAATTGAATCCAATATTTAATTGTATCCAGAGCTTACTACAAGGCAACAGATATTGGTATACAATTCTTAATTACTTTATGATTTTTAATCCCTAGTTGTACTCTATTCAGTATATCACATAATTTTTATGACTCTATCCCTATATTGTTACTATTTACATTAACTTAATAGGATACAAAATACTGTATGCATTAAAAAAAACAACTTCCAAACTAAAAAAAAACAAACAATTTCATTTGTTCTACATCATAATTTGGATACAAAACATCCAAAAAAAAGCTAAAAATATCAAATCATACAAAGATTTCACCGATTTCATCAGAAAAAAATCAACCCACTATTATAGTCGAGATATACAAATATATCATCCAAACAAATAAAATAATCGACAAAAACAAAAATACCTGATGACAAAATTTCTTGAATTCAATGAAACTGACGAAATTATAGTCGTGAATTTTGAAAACCTCCGTTTCAAGAATATGCCGAATTCAACTCGAAGAAGCTTTGAAAATTATCAATTGAATGATTTGGAAGACAAAACTATTTTTTGCAAATTATTTTTTTGGAATTCTTAAGAACAAGGCAAAAAAACGCTTGAAAGAAAAAATGGCAACATATGCTCTTTCAAAACGTAACTGATTTATATTTAATTTTTTTTCCTTTTTGAAATTTTCTATTCCGTGATTTTCTCTATTATGTTATTAATTATTTGTATTCTTTCAAACTAATCAAAATAAAATAAATACATAACTCATCCCTTAACAAACAAAAATATTGTCATTTTAAATAAATAGTGAAACTATTGTTAAGGAGTCCCACTAAAAGCTAAAATATTGTTGTTTTGAAAATTTTTCCTTTTATTTTTCATTATTATATTTTTCAATTTGTCTTTGTTTAAATTTATTAGTCACATTCTTTGTAATTTTTCTTTTATTCTTTTTATTTATATTTTTCATTTTATTTTTACATAGTTCTCTTTATATGTACTAAGTTGAAGAAATGATGAATTTTACTTAAATTTTAAATTGAGTTTAAAAAATATTTATATAAAATAAAGTAAATTAAATTTAATCAAATGAAGAAATATAAATTTTGGATACAAAATCTACTTAATTAAATTTACTTCTTTACTTTAATTGTATTTTTTTTCAATTTTATTCTAAGGAGATGAAAATTAAACTAATCTTATTTGATTTATTCATCGTTTGTTTTTTTACAAATGACTAACCTAGTAAATTGAATTAAATGAACTAAAAAAATATTAATGCCATTTATTTATTTTCTGAATATGTTAATTTTTACCCCTTTTAAAAGATCTTGGTGACTTTTATAGTAACTTATGATGATTGAGAGGCTACTAATTTAGTTTTTTTTTTAATAAAAAAATTCAAAATAAAATAAAACACTGTGAAACTTAAAGAAAAAAAAGCACAAGAATTTGAAAAAAAAAAACTTGATGGAGCAGGGTAAAAAGTAAGAAGAACCTAAACGCGGTATAACAAGACAAGTTAAATTAAGCAAGTTAAGATTAATATTTTTTTTTCTCATCTCACGTGTTTATTACTTTATACTTCAAACCCCCTTCAAGAATATCCTGGCTCCGCCATTGGTGGGAGGTAAAGAAAAAAAAGAAAATGGAGGGATGGATCAACTTGAAAGTGGGGGTGGAAGATGAAGTGGAATTTAAGATTAAATCAAAATTAAAATAAATCAAAAATTAAAAGAGAGAGAGAAATAAAGAAAAAACTGAAAATGAAAAAAAAAATTTAATTAAATTAACACGTGTCATGAAATGGTTGGCGTGTTCAAGGGCTGATAGAAAAAAGATATAATAATATCAGTTTATAATTATTTAGTGGGGTAATAGGATAGTTGCAAAGTTAAAGTGTCTTTTTGAAAATTCGAGACAATTTCAGTAGTGACTTTATGTCTTTTCTCAAAAAAATTAAGAAAACTTATTAAATTTTCAAAAGATATCCTCTTTGGAGTCTAAGAACATGTAAGCAAATTTTGTTGTGAATAGACCATTCAAAGTTAGACGCCACACGATTTTATCATCAATGGAGCTTGTGCTAGGGACATTAAGTATTTTGTATAGAAAAAAAACGAGGGACTGGGGTAAGGAGAAGGATAATCTATTAAAATTCCAAATCCCATTGATGGAAAGGTCTTTGATCTTAATGTTTTCTTCGTCTCGATTTAGAGGACCTTGAATACAACTTCTAATATTATTTATGAAAAGGTATCCAAATATTGTGCCAAAAGACATATGAGGTAGCTTTGTTACAAGTTTCCATCCATTAAGGATACACTTCCAGGTGGATGATGAATTAGCTCTAGGGGAACTATTTGGTTGAAGTCTATATTAATTAGTGGGCAATAGAGTTATTATTCTTTTTGTAATAGTGGTGTTGCACAACATGAGACAATCCTAATTGCCCATTGTACCAATCTTGTTTCATTGTAGATAGCTATGCTGAGAGTAAAAAAAAGAGAGTTGTTTAAAGAAAAGAACTCTTCTCACCAAAAGGATTATCATAGAGAGAACAAAACAAAACTCTCTTAAAAAATAAATGAGAATTCTTGAAAAATCAACCAGAAATCTCAAAACATAGTCACAAAAATTCAACAGTGACAAATCGACAATCCATGACGAGAAAAATGAGCTCGAATTGCCAGCCCTGATGACAAACGAGTCTCACCTATCAATCCCCTGAATTACTCAATTCCAATAAATTCGTCCAACTGCTCATGAGAGGGTATATCTCGTTGTATATTTTACGAAGCAGAATGTTGTCTAGATCGAAACAAAGACTAAGGGTGTGTTTGGTATGAAGGAAAATATTTTCCAATTTTCTCATGTTTGGTTGGACTAAATGTTTTGGAAAATGTTTTCCAAATCAACTCATTTTCCTCAAATTTAAGGAAAATGACTTCCCTTCTAAACTTAAGGAAAATATTTTCCAAAACTCTCTTTCAACTTCAAATTACAATTATTTTTTGTTTAAAAATCAATTTATTCCTCAAACCACCCCCCCCCCCCCCTCCCCCAAAAAAAAATAAAAAATTTAAAGCTTGTTTTTAAATTCAATTTTTTTACCCCACCCTCACCCCTACCCCCACCCCCTCCCAAAAAAATATTTAAAAATTGTTTTTAAAAGATATTTCTAATTTCAATTTTTTATTTTTTACCCCCCACCACTACCCTCGCCCCCCCCCACCCAATCAACCCCCTATCAACCCCCAACCCCCTTCAAAAAGAAAAAAATTAAACTTTGTTTTTAAAAAATATTTTCAACTTCAAATTTTTATTTTTTCATCCCGATTCGCGATCACCCACCCCCTCTCCGGTCACCCCCCCACCCCCAAAAAAAAATTGAGTTTGTTTTAAAAAAATATTTACAAATTCAAATTTTCATTTTTTCACCCTACCCTTGACCCCACCCCCACCAGCGCCCCCCCCCCCCCCCCCCCCCCCCCCCCCACAAAAAATTTAAGTTTGTTTTTAAAAAATATTTTTAATTTCAAAATTTCATTTTTCCACCCCTAGAACCCCCACCCACCCACCCCCCCTCCCCAAAAAAAATAAAAATTTCAAGTTTGTTTTTAAAAAATATTTTCAATTTCAAAATTTCATTTTTTCACACCCTACCCTCGACCCCCACCCACCCCCTACCAGCCCCCCACCCCCCTCCCCAAAAAAAATAAAAAATTTCAAGTTTATTTTTAAAAAATATTTTCAATTTCAAAATTTCATTTTTTCACCCCTACTCTCGACCCCCACCCACCCACCCCCTACCAGCCCCCCACCCCCCTTCCAAAAAAACATAAAAAAATTCAAGTTTGTTTTTAAAAAATATTTTCAATTTCAAAATTTCATTTTTTCACCCCTACTCTCGACCCCCACCCACCCACCCCCTACCAGCCCCCCCCACCCCCAAAAAAAATAAAAATAAATTTCAAGTTTGTTTTTAAAAAATATTTTCAATTTCAAAATTTCAGTTTTTCACCCCTACCCTCGACCCCCACGCACCCACCCCCTACCAGCCCCCCCCACCCCCAAAAAAAATTTTAAGTTTGTTTTTCAAAAATATTTTCAACTTCAAAATTTCAATTTTTCACTCCTACCCTCGACCATCCCCCCCTTCACCCACCCCCTACCACCCCCACCCCCCCCAAAAAAATTTAAGTTTGTTTTTAAAAACTATTTTCAATTTCAAAAATTATTTTCTACTCTAGTAAAAATAAAAGATATTTCTCAAAAATATTTTTCATTCATAAATCAAACACTAAAAATCTTTTTCGGAAAATATTTTCTACTCACTAACCATACATGAGAAATTAAGTCAAAAATCAACTTGTTTTCCTGGAAAACATTTTCTAGGAAAACATTTTCCTTCATACCAAACACACCCTAAAACTTTAATAAACACAACTGGATTCTCTTCAAGCTTTCTCGACTCAAAGAGACCATTATTGAGCTACCTATTTGGATGCAAAGATTGGATTTCAAGAAAAAGTACTACAGTCATATTCTAATTTTGATGAGAAAACTCAATACAAGAATTATTGCAATTGTTCATTTCTGTTGTGCATAGAATATATTGGAGAACTGCAACAAGCTCAAGAACTTCCATTATCTTTGCCGAGGAATAGAACAGAACACTGTTTCAATGTTTCCTCCGGGCTAGTAACTGGCAAAAGAGAAAGAGAAACAAATAACATGTAATGTGATTCCCCTATTAATTATGCAAGAGAATAACTATTCAAACATCAAAAGAATGAAGTTTTAGACAGACCTGTGTGACCCACAGTTCTCTCAGACTCATAGATCTCATGGTCATTTCCTCCCTGTTCAATAAAAAGCACGACTCTTATATCAGTCCGGACATGAAAAGAAAGCTTCAAGCATGTCAGTAACTAAAAATTACCTTGTATGTTTTGTCTCCGAAAAAGTGAATTTCATTAAATTCTTCAAGGTATCTCAAACAGTAAGTCTTGTCCCAACCTTGGGGGAAAACCTGTCATGACCAAGATCCCCAAATCATCTGTCAATAATATACTTAAAACGTTCAGCGGTCAATGAGCACAAGAAAAGGCTTAAAAATGCTTACATCAAAACTAATTTGGCCTCCAATGGAGAAGGTGAGATTAAAATGTGGAAACTTTTCTCTGAGCACTGATACCATAGTTTCGCGTATCTTCTGTACCTGATTATAGTTTCAATTGTCTTTAAATCACAGAGAAAAAAATTCTATCGGAGGTACATTACTGCAAAACATATATGCAATACTAGAGCAGTTATCTATACCTTGTCATAATTTTCAAATTCATCCCTTTCTTCTTGGCTACAGTTCCTCCCAATAGGCGACACATTTAACATGCCACTTCTAAACTCAATGAATGTTCCTCTGCAAAAAAGAATGATTAAGAAGTTTGCCACAACGAAGCAAATAATTCAACCTTTGATCTATGTTTACTTGGATCCTTCAAAAATGTTGTCGGTGTGTGTTAGGTCCTTCAAAAAAACAATTTTTGGAAGATCTGGCAGACTGGCATGGGTGCGGCGACATTTTTGGAGGATCCAAGCAACACAGACTTTGATACACTCACCTCTTTATTGGAATATCCAAGTCAGCAATGTAATGGAGGGTAAAGTTAATAAATTCCTGCATATCATTTGCATCCCATCAAAATATTTCATGGCCATCCACATATAAACTCATTTCTACTTCAATTGGGTGAACCTAACTATAAACACTAAGTGTCACTCAATTATACGCAACATACACACACAATTAACTCTATAAACTCATTTCTACTTCAATTGGGTGAACCTAACTATAAACATTAAGTGTCACCTAATTATACGCAACATACACACACAATTAACTCTTCATGGAATGTGTAATAACTTGGTTTCTAGATTTTCGTAAACTATCATAAACATTGCTTCGAAACTTATGAAATATCACGTCGGAGCAATTTTTCAACAAAGTACAAATTACATAGTAATCTCTCTATTTTGCTCTTAGGCAAACTATCCTTCACCTTATAGATAAAGATATCATGCAGAGACTAATTTATCACTTCAACGAAATTATTTTTCGTAAGTTAAACAACAAATAATTAGAAGGATCACTAAGCCTTTATCAAACTGCACTTGGTTGGGTATGCTCCCCTCTTTGCACTATTACAAAAACAAAACATTTCCTCGTTAAATAAGAAAAACGCATTGACTAACCTTAAGCTTCTCATCCCCAAGATATGACTTCAAGCTCTGCACGCCCACCAAGAGTCATGTCATTTCAAAACAAATCACCCTGCTAATTAACAATTAAGGAGAACGAAAGAAGCGATGCACATTGAAGATGGGAAGAAAGAAAATCTCTTCAAGCTGTTCAATAGTTCCATATTTCATGAGACTATTATCAAGTTTTAACATGGTACGAAGTGCTTAAGTAGTGGCAACAAGGATGTTGTTTTGAGTTGATAAAGACAGTATCCGAAAATTTTGTTTTGTCACAAAGTGAATATGCACTCACAAGTAATATTATAGAGATAGGATATCAAATTCTAGTCATTAAAATTACCTGTTTTCCAATAAGCTTGCCATCTTTATGTGCTACAAGGCCATTTTCAGAGAAAACATAATCATAGTCATTTGTAACTGCATCACAAATATTAGAAAGATCAAAATGTCATCATTCTCAAGAAATTCTTTTAGATAGGTCAGTTAATAGCCACATATTGAGAATCAAGGGACATGCATGACCTCAAAGATTGTATAGCACTAAAGTTGGGCAGAAAAAGGTACATTTCAACAGCTAACATGGAGCTATAACCATAAGACTACGCATGCCTTTCTAGTGGAAAGGTCATTTCATTTTTCAAATCAAAACACAGTTCAGTACTCGTGGCTAGTGAACTCATAGTTCTACACTTCTACTCTTGCATGATACTGCAAGGAATTTCAGATACTAAGCTAGAAACATGAGCTCTAATAAGTTGATGTAGCACCTTTCATCATCCCAACTCCAAGTTTAGTATATATGTTAGTTAATCTAACCTGTATTGCCAAGCTGTTCTGATATCTTGACAAGGTCAGAACCTCCAACAACTCCAACAGTAACAACCTGCAGGTTGACAAAATTGTTAAGACAGAGAATCCTTGAGAGGAAAAATAATATATGTGGAAAAGAGAGAGAAGGAAAAAGGAGTATGGCAGAAGAATCATCTACCTTTCTAAGTTCCTGCATGAATTTCAACATTTGTGGAGTAGATTCCTGAAATTTTGATGCAAATTATCCAAAGAAGAAAAATCAATATCGTTATGGGGGTGATTAAATGTCACTACTAGTAAATTTACTGTAAAATTAAACGAAGAATAAGAATAAGAACAATAAAAAAACCATGACAATATTTTGAAAATAAATGTACAAGCTAGCAAGAATACACTGAATCATTCGACGACGCCTCAACCTCAAACAGGTTGGATTCAGCTACTAAATATACAAATTATCTATACCATTCTGCTCTATTCAAGCCCATCAAGGATGCAATTGTCCATAAAGTCAAATTAATCTACAGTAAGGGTGTTTTCAGTATCGATCTGATTTTCTCATGTTCCTTAGGTAAAAAAATTTGGAAAATATTTTCTTTAGAAACACAAGTTCCTTAAAAATGAGGAAAATGAATTGTCTAATGGACGTAGGGTAAACAAGTTCTGGAATTAGCATTGCACATTGATTTTTTCCTCTAACACACCTTATCATCCCCCCACCTCTATACCCCTATCCCACCACACCACCCCTATCCTCCTGTTGCTTCGATTATATACAAATACTTTTAGAATAATATTTTTTTACTTACATACCGAACACACCCTTAGTAACAGAAACAAAGGGAACAATCAAACTAAAGCAGCATATACGAGCAGGAGCAATCATACTATACCTTCCTGGGTGCTGTAAGAGTTCCATCAACATCAAACAGAGCAATTAAACCAGCTTTCCTTGCACCCATTTTTATCTTTCTATACTTGTCACCAACTCTTCACTGCATTCAACAACCAAACATTGAACCTTATCAAACTACACTTGATAAAACCAAAATAAAATCCAATACAAAAGTTCACAAAGATGAAATGAAAATCACAATATATAGTTGTACTAATTTGTACAACACAATGGACGGTGGCACTTTGCGTACTCACTAAAAAGAAAGTATTCAACAAGACGACAACGTGAAGCAAAATCAGTTACAGAAAATGCAAAATTTACACCGATTGAAAAAGAAGAGACGTGGATTTGCTGCTTATTTGCTGCAGACTCTAAATGTTTTCCCAGGAGTAAGTGTAGTTTCTGATTTGCCAATTTGGAAACTACATAGCAAGGGGTCTTTTACCGTGAAATCATGTTATTGGAGTTTGAACTTCAGCCAGACAATGAAAGAAAAATGGCCTTGGAAACTGATTTGGAAGGTTAAAATACCACACAAAATCTCATGTTTCAGCTGGCTGGTGGTCAGGAGAGCCTGTTTAACACACGAAGTACTGCAGAGAAGAGGTATTCAGATTTGCTCTAGGTGTTTTATGTGTGAGCAAGTGGCAAAGATAAATAGTCATTTCTTCATTCATTGCAAAACAACAGTAAATCTGTGGAACATGTTCTTCTGTTTACTTGGGATAAGTTGGGTAATGCCCAGGACCTCCTTTGATATGTTGAAAAGCTGGGAGGAGTTGGAAGAAGGGGATCACAAGAAGATTGGTGGAGAAGTATCCTAGCATGTGTTTGGTGGACTTTATGGAAAGAGAGAAACGAAAGATGTTTTGAAGGAAAATCTAGTTGTTTCCAGAAGATTAAGATGAAGAGTATAAGTCCTTTGTATTTTTGGTGTAAACATGATATAGTGGGGGAAATAGATAGTTTAGTTGACTTCATAGGACAATTGTAAAGCCTCCTATCTAGACTTTTAATCTCGATGATGCCCTTTGGGGTTGTAAATCCCACCCCATCAGCTTTTTCTTGTTGGGCTTTTTGGTGTGAATACAATTACTATTATAAAAAAAAAGACGTGCAAGTGGACAATTTTCCACCACTTTATTGCGCATTCATTGGCTTACTTCAGCAAAAATTGGCTCGGAGAATCGGACGCAGATCTGAGATCGAATTGCTTTGCTGAATTTATAATGTGGATATTGGGATTTGAGGGGTGATTGTGTTCTTTTCACTCAAAGGCAGCCCACTTGAGTTTTTAGATCTATGTCCCAATATCTGTTGACTACATGTGATTGGTTGGGCCACGTATTGCATTGTGTTGTATCGTATTATATTGTATTATTTTGATGAATAAAAAGTTTGGATATATTATATCGTTCTTCGTAGTTACATAATGTCACACATTTATAATTTGATGATAAACTGAAACGATCCAACCCATAAGTGATATTGTCCGTTCTGGGACTAGGCCTGCACGACTTTAAAACGTGTCGCTAGTTTATAAGGTCTGTTTACTAATAAACCCAACATCTCTCATGTGTTTTTACCGATGTAGGCAAGGGCGGAGCTACCCTAAGACAAGGGGTGTCAAGGAATACCCCTTCGCCGGAAAACTACATTGTATATATAGGTCAAAATTTGATTTAATGAATATTTATACAAGTGTTGACACATCTTGACATAAGTTGAAGGTTTAGTGTAGTGATTAAGGAGTTACAAGAGTTGTTTGAGGTTGTGTGTTCAATCTTTGATAGCAACATTTACTTTTTTACTTTTCTAATCTTAACCTGGGCGTTGTTGTCTAACCATGAATTTAAATGATACTATACAGATTTTTGGGACCATTAAATTTTGAGAAATGAAACAACAAATAAGACATCTAAAATAAAGCAGTTAAGGCAAAACAGTGCATTATTCTAAAGGGAAAACATTTCGAAACTAACAAATTTCTTGATAGAGGGTACTCAAACAAAGGTAATTTTTAGCAATAAATCCATACTCAAATTGTGAATACACAAACGGATGATCCTGAGCTTTAGATAAGATTTTACGGAAAACAAAAGCATCAACTTAACAATAAGAGCTTAAGATGGCACAACCTTATCTCCACCTGGGCAAAAACAATTTTTTTTATCTCAACTGTTAAAGTTTTAGGTCAACAAATATTAACCATGAACACTATATAAAAGCCAGGGAAGAACAATGAGCAACTTAAGAGGAAACAGGGGAGTAAATGAACAAATTCTTTCACACGATTAGCTTGAGATGCTCTACAACTGTATCCCGTAAAGCAGTAAGATGAAGACTTTGACAAAAATCAATTTTAAACAACTATCTTTAGCTAAGATAAACTCATTTCACGAAGGGATAACATTTACCACAAGCATACACAGTTAATCATGCAAACATTTGCGAGGAGTTGTGACAAAATATTCAAGAGTAAGCTATGGCAAGACAACAAAGAAAACTCATTCAATACGATGTATAAAACGACGATAATCCACATCGAATAACTACTAGTACAATTTATAAACAAAACAGGAGCAAATCACACATCAATTAGAAGCTTAAACCATTGAACCCAAAATCACAGAAAATATCACAAACTAAAACTAAGGCTTGCATAACCAGCAGTTAAGAGTTAAACGGATATGGAGGAGGACTAAGAAAATAACAAACTAAGAAAAGTATGCAGTAATCCCAAGAACCAGATTAGCCTTAGGGTAAAATAGAAACACATTTTGGACCAAGAAAGAAACTAAGAAAAAAAATCACAGAGAAACTATTTTAGAGCATTAGACACTGAAATGGACTTGAAACTATACAAAACAGGATTCTCACAAATTAGAACTCTAACAAATGTCAACTACGAAGAAACAAAAGCAAGGAACCAGCATGCTAAAGAAAATACTACAACAAAGAAACTCTGGGAAGCAGTAGCTCTTTATAGGGAACACGAACTAATGCATTGACAAAAACAAATTCGCATATTAGGACGATGAGCCTTTACGATCAAAGAAGTTATAATGATTTATGACTCTGATGGTATATTACTAACAACAAGAGTGAAAGGAGCGTTACTAGCTAATACTCATCAGCCAGATTCCAACATATGAAGACAAAAATGAAGCTAAGAATACATAAACAGAACACATAGGAGAACTAGAAATTTAAACAAAAAAACTAAGAAAAAATTTACCTCTTTCCTGGCAGCGACTGAGATGAACGAGCAAGAGAAAATTCCACCCCACGAGCTCGGTTCCGAAAGCAGAGAGTCGACGCCGAGTTAGAAAGAGAGCTAAATTTCTAATTTTTGATGAACTACACAGCTTACACTACCAGATTTAACAATGAGAGGAACCACACATTAGAAACTCCAACAGATAGCCAACAAATACAATTTCAAAGGGAAAAGGTAGTTCATGAGGGTCAAAAATATGAAATCTGTATAGTAAAGAAAAGCTAACAGCTAGCACCCAAACTTAAAATTAAGAAATTCTTTCACACTAAACATCAAGCAAGACAAATGAAACTCCTAATCAATTTTAACACATGAAAACTAAAACACAATTAAGAACATCTAAATAGAAATTAAATAGAATAAAGCTACGAAAATATTTTACCTTAATCTGAAAGAATGAAATTTCAGGTCTCTCAACTTCGATTCACAATGAAAACAGGCGAATGAGAGGGCTGTTCGAAATTTTTGAGAAAATACAACCAAATCAAAGTGGGATTCGTCAGATTTTTCGTACGAAATAGTTCCAAGATCAAACGGATTTTTGAAAGGGATTTGAGAAATTGCAGGGCGTGGCTCGATTCTCGAACGGCTACTGGTATAAGGCACGTGAACTGAACGAATGAGGGGGGAGACTGGCTGAGCGTCGTCGTTTGAAATGGATTCTGTTCTTGTTGGTCGAGTTTACGAGGAAGAAGAATAAGTTGAGAAAGGGGCGCATCTGGGGCCTTTTCGAGCGTTCTTACTCCAACATTTACAAGATTTTAGAATCATTATGACAAAAATAAATGAGTTGGCAATATAATTGGGTACTAGTTGAAAGAAACCAAATAACACATATTGGGAAATATAGATCTAAAAAAAAAAAAACTAGTGGCACTCTTTGAGTAAAAACACCTCAACCCGGTATTCCAACATCCACACTATAAATTACGCAAAAGCAATTTGATCTCAGATCTGCGTCTGATTCTCCCAGCCAATTTTTGCTGAGGTAAGTCAATGAATGCACAGTAAATGATGGAAAATTGCTCACTTGCACGTCTCTTCTTCTTCAATCGGTGTAAATTTTGCATTTTCTGTAATTGATTTTTCTTCATTTTGTCATCTTGTTGAATACTTCTTTTTAATGAGTACGCAAAGTGCTACCGCTCATTGCATTTATCTGTAACAACGGTACAACTATAAATTGCGATTCTATAATTTGATTTGTTTCATTTCATCTTTGTGAACTTTTATGTTGGATTTTATTTTGGTTTTATCAAGTGTAGTTGATAAGGGTAAATGTTTGGCTATTAAATGCAGTGAAGAGTTGGTGAGAAGTATAGAAATATAAAAAATGGCTGCAAGGAAAGCTGGTTTAATTGCTTTGTTCGATGTTGATGGAACTCTTACAGCACCAAGGAAGGTATAGTATGATTGCTCCTACTTGTATTTGCTGCTTTAGTTTGATTGTTCCCCTTGTTTCTATTACTAGGGGTGTGTTGGGTATGCAAATAAAAAAATATTATTTTAAAAGTATTTGTATATAATTGAAGCAACAGGAGGATGGGGGTGGTGTGGTAGGGATAGGGGTACAGAGTTGGGATGATGATAAGGTGTGTTGGAGGACAAAATCAATGTGGAATGCTAATTCTAGAACTTGTTTTCCCCATGTCCATTAGATAATTCATTTTCCTCATTTTTAAGTAACTTGTGTTTCTAAAGAAAATATTTTTCAAAATTTTTTACCTAAGGGACATGAGAAAATCAGATCCATACTGAAAACACCCTTACTGTAGATTAATTGACTTTATGGACAATTGCATCCTTGATGGGATTGAATAGAGCAGAATGGTATAGATGATTTGTATATTTAGTAGCTGAATCCAACCTGTTTAAGATTGAGTCCCCGTCGAATGATTAAGTGTATTCTTGCTAGCCTATACATTTATTTTCAAAATATTGTCATGATTTTTTGTTGTTCTTATTCTTATTTCTTCGTTTAATTTTACAGTAAATTTACCAGTAGTGACATTTAATCACCCCCATAATGGTATTGATTTTCTTCTTTGGAAAATTTGCATCAAAATTTCAGGAATCTACTCCACAAATGTTGAAATTCATGCAGGAACTTAGAAAGGTAGAGATTCTTTTGCCATGCTCCTTTTCCCTTCTCTCTCTTTTCCACATATATTTTATTTTTCCTCTCAAGGATTCTTTGGTTTAACAATTTTATCGACTTGCAAGTTGTTACTGTTGGAGTTGTTGGAGGTTCAGACCTTGTAAAGATATCAGAAGAGCTTGGCAATACAGGTTAGCTTAAGTAGCATATATACTAAAGTTGGAGTTGGGATGATGAAAGGTTCTACATCAACTTATTAGAGCTCATGTTTCTAGCTCAATATCTGAAATTCCTCGCAGTATTATGTAAGAGTAGAAGTGTAGAACTATGGGTTCACTAGCCAAGAGTACAGAGTTGTGTTTTGATTTAAAATATGAAAGGACCTTTCCACTAGAAAGGCATACATAGTCTTATGGTTATAGCTGCATGTTAGATGTTGAAATGTACCTTTTTCTGCCCAACTTTAGTGCTAAACAATCTTTGAGGTCATGCATGTCCCTTGGTTCCCAATATGTGGCTATTAACTAACCTATCTAAAAGAATTTCTTGAGAATGATTACATTTTGATCTAATATTTGTGATGCAGTTACAAATGACTATGATTATGTTTTCTCTGAAAATGGCCTTGTAGCACATAAAGATGGCAAGCTTATTGGGAAACAGGTAATTTTAATGACTAGAATTTGATATCGTATCTGTATAATATTACTTGTGAGTGCATATTCATTATTTGACAAAACAAAATCTTCGGATATTGTCTTTATCAACTCAAAACAACATCCTTGTTGCCACCACTTAAGCACTTTGTACCAAGTTAAAACTAAATAAAGTCTATGAAAATTGGAACTACTGAACAACTTGAAGAAATTTTATTTCTACCCATCTTCAATGTG